ATGATATTCCGTTTTAAACAGTTTTAGAAAGATAAAAAATTCTATGACTAATCTATTTCACTAAAACCTTGCAAATCCAACACAGAGCTCTGAAAATAAAATAAAACTGCCAAATGATGACATGAAACCATATTTTGGTAACTTTCAAATAAGCACAGTGATTGGTGAATAAATTATAGAATCTGCAAGGTTTATAATGCTTTCCAAAAAGTTCTTTATTTTTAAAAATTTTACTAAGCAGGGAAGATATTTAAAGGCAAAAACCTGATTCCAAGTTGTACTTCTCATAGTATGTCTCAAACCATGGCTGAGAGCTTTCAATGAGCATCAACACTAATGAAAAACGACAGGAAGAGAAGGCAGCATGAGTCATTGACAAAATTCCTGTTCAAAAGACTGCAAAGGATGTGACATCTGTATTGAGAGCACACCATGCAATGGAGTAATGACTATGGTATATCTGGGTGCACAGATATTTCCCTTAACAGTTCAACACACCATTGATGAATAGGAAGCAGCGCTTAGAAATGTGCACTACGTAAACAAGGGAGAAGTAGCTGATTATTTTTTGTTCTGTTAATTTTGGATGTAGTAAAGCTATTCCTGGCACGTTCAAATACCAAATTTTCCAAAACTGCAAGAGAACATGAAGAAATCTTTTCCAGAGAGAAAAGCAACCAAGTAGACTAGAAATCCATGCCTCACTATCTCCTGGGGTGAGACACTGAACTTCCAGAAGAAAAGCTCCCCAGGTTTTGAGTGTGATGGGTGGGCTCGTGTGCACCCTGAGAACAGTCATCAGTGAAGACCTCACCATGCTTTTGGAGTCCACATTCAATCTAAGATCCAGAACTATCTGACGGAATCTCCAGATCTTGCTGCAATTTCAAATGCCCTTTAATTGAGAGTTATGCTTTTCTAACTTAATACAAATAAAGAGAAAAATTGGACAATGAATTGAGAAGCCATATACATTTCATGGTGTCACTTTCCTAGATATGGGGCCCTGATGTCAGATTGCAAATAAATGTCCTCTCAAAGACATAACACTTATTATTGCTGTTAGTATTAACCTTAAATAATTGTTTAAAAAATTGTGATGAAGCCAGGCTCGGTGGCTCAGCCTGTAATCCCGCGCCTTTGAGAGGCTGAGGTGAGTGGATTGCCTGAGCTCGTGAGTTCAAGACCCACCTGGGCAACTTGGCGAGACCTCATCTCTACAATAAATCAAAATGAGCCAGGTGTGGTAGCGCGCGCCTGTAGTTCCAGCTACTTGGAAGGCTGAGGCGGAAGGATTACCGGAGCCCAGCAGGTCGAGGCTGCAGTGGCCGGGAGCAGCCACTGCACTCCAATCTGGGTGACAGAGTGAGATTCCAACTCAAAAAAAAAAAATTGTGATGAATATTTTTAAAATTTCTGATGAAACAGAATCTCTGCCTATTACCACACACAAAAATCAACGCTAAATGGATCAAAGACCTAAACATAAAATGTAAGAATCTTAGATAACGCAGGAGACACCCTTATGCACATTGGAATAGGTAACCAATTCTTGATCATAACCCCGAAAGCATATGCCATAAGAGATAAGACAGATAAGTAGGACCTCATAAAACTGAAAAACGTTTGCAAAGCAAAAGAAACCATCAAGAGAGTGAGGAGACAGACCACAGAATGGGAAAAAATATTTATGAACTGTATATCTGACAAAGGCCTAACACCCAGGATCTACAAGGAATTCAAATGAGCCAAAAGGAATAAAACAAACAGCCCTATTAAAAAGTGAGTAGCTGGGCTTGGTGGCTCAGCCTGTAATCCCAGCACTTTGGGAGGCTGAGGCATATGGATTCCCTGAGTCTGTGGATTCAAGACCAGCCTGGGAAACTGAGTGAGACCTCGGCTCTACAATAAATAAATAAAAAATTAGCCAGGTGTGGTAGTGCATGCCTGTAGTTCCGGCTCCTTGGAAGGCTGAGGTGGAAGGATCGCTGGAACCCAGCAGGTCGTTGCTGGGGTGGCCATGAGTGTGCCACTGCTCAGCCTCACTAATCATCAAAGAAATGCAAATCAAAACCACACTGAGATACTACCTAACTCTAGTAAGAATAGCTACCATTATTAAAACAAAAAACAACGAGTGCTGGCAAGGATGTGGAGAAAAGGGAATGCTTCTACACTGCTGCTGGGAGTGCAAACTAGCTCAACCTCTATGGAAAACAGTGTGGCAATTTAAAAAAATATCTAGAAATTGACCTTCCATATGACCCAGCAATCCCTCTTCTGGGAATACACCCAAAGGAACTCAAATAATTTTACAAAAAAGATACCTGCACATGCATGTTTACTGCAGTATTATTCACAATCGCAAAAACATGGAACCAAGCACACTGTCCATCAAAAGTGGACTGGATTAAAAAACGTGGTACATATACATGATGGAATATTATGCAGCCATTAAGAAGGACAAAATTATGGCTTTCAGCAACTTAGATGGATTCAGAGTCTATCATACTCAGTGATCTATCACAGAAACAAAGAACTGAGTACCACATGTTCTGACTCATAAGTGGATCCTGAACATTTATCACAATACTACAAGAGAGGGATCAGCGGTAGCGGACACTGACAGGGGAAGGGAGGGGCACATAATACCACTAAGGGCATCTGATCCTAAACCAGGGGAAGTGAGAACCAGTGGAAGGCCCAAACTTCACGTGTATGTAGACCATTTATGGACCTAAACCTGACTTGTATGCCCCCATCTTTAAAATAAAATAAAGAGAAAAAGAAATCATAATAAAAAATAAAATTTCTGCAAAGTTGATGGTCTGAATTAAGTCATCCAGAAAGGCTGAAAACTTGAGGCCCACTGTTCCTAAGGCCTGCTAGGCCCCCACAGGATCCTGAGACTTCCTTATCTGGGTTGTACTGTCCCATTCCTGTGAGGAGACAGAACACTCTCCCTGGTCTGCACTGAGAGTGACTTCTTGTCAGAGAGGGCTTTAGAGAGCAGTCTGGAGAGAGCTGGGGTCTTGTATGCTGACCTCAGCATCCCACTTTAAGAACAGCCCCCTTTCTGCTTCTGTCTGAAGGCAGCACAGGGCCCAGGCCGAGAAACACGGACCTGGAGATGGTTCACCACTCTGGAGTTGGAAGGATCTGGATTGGAGTCCCATCACTGTCACTTTCTAGTTGTGTCACTCTAGGGAAATGACTTTCCCATTCTAAGGCGCTCATCCAGAAAGCTCAGGAAATGCCTTCATCCTGCCAGGGTGAGTGCGGATGGTGAATGAGAACATGTCTAAGAGATCTCTTTGAGACCTGCGATGTGGAACACATTGAAGGATCAACTCCCACTTCTCCCATTGCCAAAAATTGTCCCCATCCTGTTCTCATAGTAGAAGCCAACCCCTGTACAGGGTTGAAAGTTAGAGAATGGGAGGCACGCAGGATGTCAGGGAACCGTAGGGGAAGGAGGTAGTAGCAGTTCCCTTCTGACTTAGGTTTCAGATCTCCCCAGCTTTCCAGCCTTCCAGCAGCCACTCAACTAACCCATCCAGTGAGGATCTTTTGAGCGGCTGGGCCAGTAGCCTGCCAGCCCTCCCTCTGTGACTCTGTGGAGTTGCATCTTACCACACATTGTCAACACTTTTCTCCAGTCCTGGCATTTGTTCTGAAACCAAAGCTGCTCCCAGTGGCTGAGACACAGATTCCATCTGGCCCTACGGTTTGGCAGAGCTGGTCTGGTAGTTTAGTGTGGAACCGTAAGCAAAGGGGCTAAGGAAAATCAGGCTGAATCTGAAAGTAACCACACTGGGAGAGTAAGCTGTTGACAGGGACTGGAAATCCCAGACCCACTCTCATTGTGGGCTTCCTCAGTCCAGTCTGACAAACTCCTGTGGACACGGACGGGGGCTGAGTGGAGTAGATAGACCATGGCCATCATCAGAGAGGGCTGTGTGATCTAGCAAAAGAGATGTCTTCTCAGCCAGACTTGGGGAGAACCTGGCTTCCAGACAAGCCCTGCCAAGGTGAGGTAACAAGGAGGCTTTTCTTCCTAGCTCCTCCTCAGTCCCCATATTCAGACATTTGCTTGGTGACGCCATGGTAACGGTGATGCCACAATGGAACATTCTTCTCAAAGTGGTAGAAGAAATTCCTCTGATGAGCTCTGCTGTGTAAGACCAGAGGGAGTTCATTTCTCCTTGAGCAGGAGCAGTTCACAGAACTCTGAGGACCATCCTGAGGACAAGAAACATCTGGTGTCATGAGCGGAACATGGTGACACTGGGTCTTTGGATTCAGACAGCCCTGAGCTCAGATTCCAGCTGCACAACTTGGTAGCTGTGTGATCTTGGGCTGGCTACTTGATAACTCTAAGTGTCAGTTTCTGAATCTGTAGAATGGGGATAATGAGAGTGTCTACCTCCTATGGCAGTTGAGCAAATGAAAGGAACTCAAGGCTGGCGCTGTTACTGTGTAAAAGCCTAGGCTGTTACTAGTTCAAAGAAACAGCAGCATTATTTTAGCCCGCAGAGTTTAGTAGAAGGGGTAAAACCACAGCATAGACTCTAAACCTAGCCTAGGCTTCCACTAAAACCCTACCTTTTCTTTCAGCAGTATTTTATGGCTACAGAGTTAAGACAGAGGTTGAATTCCACGAGTCAAAAAGCAACCCTTTTCAGAGACCCAACTCTCTGGGACACCCAGGGTCCCAGGCTGAACTGAAAAGAAAACTGACAAGTGTGAACTGCCTTCTCTTCCTGGGCCATCTTACAAACTGCAGACTGAACATCAGCACGGAATAGCTGGACCTGCCTCTTGACGGCACAGAACCAAGCACTCGGGATGTGACAGGTTGGTGCCCCACATCTTGGAACCTTTGTCTGTGGAAAGGAAAGAGGCAGAACCTCTGATTTGGGAGAATTGCCCCCTTGGGGAGGAGAGGAAGCCCCCGTGTGTGTTTGGAAGTGGACAGAGTCATAGGGTTTTCTGTTTTCCAGCCACCCATGGTGTCCACTGCAGGTCTCTCTGGGGATGGAAGGCATGCGAGGGGTGCTCTTGGTGCTGCTCTGCGTTCTCCACTCTTCTTCTGGTGAGTGTGCTGCTTTCCTCTGTCGGACTTTAGCTGCATGTGTAGCATGGAAGGGAGATCACCCAGGAAGATGAAGTGGTCCTTAATGCCCAGGGAGGGGCATGGGAAAGGTGACTCACAGAACTCTGGTCTGGGCAGCATGTAATGGCAAAGAAGCAGATCATGGGATGCAGATGGAGGAGACTGATGTCAGAGCCAGTCCTTGGGGTGAGAGTATGATTGGGAAAATAAGGCCCTCTGGGCAGAGGGTTCAGCCTCAGGTCTGCCTTCATCCACACAATCCTGCCCTGCCCTTCCTGGGGCATGTTGCTCTTTTGCAAACTTTTAACCCAGAAGCATGGGGGCTTCTACTGCTGTCGGTGTCCTGGTGGCTGCCAGAGCCTCAGACGGCAGGAGTGGCAGCTGAAATCCCCTCTCCTCTGACCTCAAGGCTGTTCAGGACTAAGAATTTCAGCCTAGAAAGGGGCGGGTCGAGGGGATGCCTGGCTAAAGCAGGTTCTGTCTCGCTTTGCTGCTATCTCAGCCAGCTCTGCCTTGCCTTCCTGGAGTTGGATGGAAGACAGGAGAAAGTCCCATACGTGCATACACACACATACAGAGGGGAGCCCTCCACCTCCTTCAGCCTTCTCCACCTCTTCTGCCTCCCGGAAGCCCCAAGAGGGCTTCCCAGGAAACCCAGAAAGGGCCTCTCCCTTCTTAAAAGGCCAGAGCAAACATTTTGCTTCTGGGTCAGATTTCCTCTTTATATACTGGCCTTCTAAGGGCTTTGTAAGGTCAGATGAGCTAGCCAACTATAACTTTAAAAAAGCAAAAATCATCACACACCTGTAGGTTCTTGTTGGGTTAGGAAGGATTGGTTAACACCTTGCATCAGAGGTTGCCAACATCCTAAGGAAAAAAATCAGACTGATAAGGAATCCTGTCTTTGGTGGTTCTGAAGCACTTAGTGACCTTCCAGACATCATCTTACCAACAACTAGCTCTGTCATTGTTCCAGCACAGTCTCTAGGTGTAAGTTAATGGAGGGATTTGGTCATTCGATACCCCATAATGGAGAGGTTCTCAGTGGTCCTCTGATGATAACACTGTATGTTATAATCAATTCTAGCATCATGGTTTGAAAACTCTGGTTTTGGTCCTCACATTAAAGATCACCACCTGGAAGAAGCCCTCCCAGACTTTATGCCCTGGGCAGCATTCATGCCCCCTCCTCCGTATACTCTGGACACACTCCCTGTGTCATGTATCTCTCTGTATGGCCACCACTCTTTAGCAATGTCACGGTAACAGTCACCTGAAATTCATGCCCGGAAGCCCAGGCCTTCGCTCAGTATCTGACAGGGCTGAGTGAGGTGGGATGGATGACTGAAAAAGCAGTCACCAATGGTCCTATCCACACAGACTGCTGGAGGTACCCCTCATGTGACACTCATGAACCAGGTCACTGATTGAGAAGCAAGCACGGGGTGCTTGTGCTCGGGATTTATAAAAGGTAGCAGAGCAGTGGTTTACCTTTTTAAAAAATGGAATTGTCTATTCCATCCTTGGTTTGGCAATATCGGTCATGGGGACCCAGTTTGCAAAGCACTTTCCCATGACCTCACCTCATGTGATCTTCACAACAGGTTTATTACCCCACGTTTCACAAGGAACCCAGGAAGTGAAGTAGCTCACCCAAAGTTTCACAACACACTCTGTATCTGGGCCCTTCCTAAACACACATTAGAATCTAACCTGGGGAACTTTTAGAAAATGCAGTGCCCTGGGATTCTGGCAGACATGTGCTGTTGGGACTGAGCACTACACTCTGCTCAGGTGAGGGTGAGAGGGCACTCCTAAGTCCAAGGAAGAGTCCAGGAACTAGTCCTATGGGCACGCAGACTCATCAAACAGGACCTAGTGACTGGCGAGGGAGGATGGGGCAGTGGGGAGCCAGCAGCCGGAGAGAGCAAAACTACTCGTGTGGATGCTGTGCTGTGATGGCACCTGGAAACTAAGAATCTCTGCTTGCCCAGCCCAGGGCTTGCAATAAGTCAGTTCCCCTTTCTGACTAGATGAGTTTCAAGGGTCCTTCCTATTCTAACATCCTAACACTCTCCACGATACTATGGATATGAAACTTTTTTTTTTTTTTTAATCCATGGACAATATAGCCATTCTGGACCAACCAGGGCTGGCAGTAGGAGTATATCTTTTTTTTTTTTTCTTGTTTTAAAAATTTATTTTATTTTATTTTATTTTAAAGATGTGAGATATATTTCAGGATTAGGTAGATAAGTGGTCATTGTACAGGAAAAGTTTGGGCCTCCCTTTGGTCCCCGCTTCACCTGGTTTGAGATCAGTTTCCCTTATTGATGTTATGTCCCCCACCTTCCTTCTTCTGGCAGCACCTTGCTACTGCCGATTCCTTTCTTACAGTATTATGATAAACTTTCAGGGTCCACTTATAAGTGAGAACACGTGGTACTCAGTTTTTTGTTTCTGTGATAGATCACTGAGTATGATAGACTAAATCCATCCAAGTTGCTGTGAAGTCCATAATTTTGTCCTTTATTATGGCTTCATGATAGTCTATCATGTATATGTGCCACTTTTTAAAATCCAGTTCTCTTTCTATGGGTAGCACAGCTGGTTCCATGTTCTTGCTATTGTGAATAAGCTTCAATAATAGACATGCATGTGCAGGTATCTTTTTATAGAATAATTTGAGTTCCTCTGGGTATATTCTCAGAAGGGGGATTACTGGGTCATATGGAAGGTCAATTTTTAGATCTTTTAGGAATCACCACACTGTTTTCCACAGAGTTTATACTGGTTTACACTCCCACCAACAGTGTAGAAGTATTCCCTTTTCTCTGCATCCTCTCTAGCATCTGTTGTTTTTTGAGTTATTTGATGATGGCCATCCTGACTGTGGTTAGGTGGTGTCTCAGTGTAGTTTGATTTGCATTTCTTTGATTATTAGTGAAACTGAGCATTTTTTCATGTATCTGTTGGCTGCTTGTACATCTTCTTTTGAGAAGTGTTTATTCATATCCTTTGCCCACTTTTGAATAGAGTTATTTGGTTTTTTTTTCCTTTTTGGCATGTTTGAGTTCCTTGTAGATTCTGAATATTAGGCCTTTGTCAGATTCCGGTTGGCAAATACTTTTCCCAATCCTGTGAGCTGTCATCAAACACCATCCAAATTCTATGTATATGGCTACAACAGGTGGTAACCCACAGAAGGCTCTGTCAGAAACCCTGGAGTCACTCATTTGCCACATCTAATCAGTCCCAAGGTTCTGTTTATTCTGTTCCTTCAGTGGGGAGCATATCACTGAAAACATTGATACTTCACTCTTACCAAGCGTGCTGTCTTATGCCTGTAATTCCAGTCATTTTGGGAGACTGAGGCTGGAGGATTGCTTGAGCCTAGGAGTTCGAGATCAGTCTGGGAAACATAGAGAGACCTCATCTCTACAAAAAAATTAAAAAATTAACTGAGTAGGTGGTGTGCACCTGTAGTTCCAGCTACTTGGAAGGCTGAGGAGGGAGGATTGCCTGAGCCTAGGAGGTCAAGGTTGTGATCCTGCCACTGCACTCCAGTCTGAGTGATAAAGTGAGACCCTGACTAAAAAAAAAAAAAAAAAACACCAAAAACCCCAAACCAAAACAAAAAAAACTCCCAAAACAACAACAACAACCACTTAACTCTCATTGGAAACAAAGTCCAGTTTGCTCAAGAAACTCTGATTGGAGTTGGCCCACTAGAGGGCTGGAGGAGGCAAGGGTTGAGAGGCCTGGGGGAATCAGAGACTCTCTCCATCTTCCAGAACGTTATAGCCCCTGACAACAAGCAGTCAAGGTGTGCCTTGTTGGCCAGGACCTTTTGTTCATGCACCAGATTTATTGAGCACCTATTATGTGCCAGGCAGCGGTAGCACTGAGGGGTAAACTGGCAAGCAAAACAGACATGTAGGGAGGAGCTATGCATGCTAACAGCCCGCAGAGGAAGAATAAGGGTAAATATGAAATGTGACTAGAAAATACATACACTGCAAGGGGTTGAGAGAATGGGGTTTAGACCAGCTGTGCAACTGGGACAAGTGCTTGCCTTCTTTGAAATCGATTTCTCATCTACAAACTGAGAAAGACCATGTCCATCTCATGGGACTGTTGGGGGAATGGTATGAAGTAGTGTATACCGACAATTCTCAAACTTTTTCGTCTCAGGATCTCTTTAACACTCTTAAAAATTATTGAGGACCCCTAAAGAGTTTTTGTTTATGGGGTATATCTTGCCATATTTACTGTATTAGAAATTAAAACTAGGAAAAATTTTAAACACAGGACTACTCAAGTTCACATACTATTAGCCATCAGAGTGATGACATCCTGTAGCCTCTGGAAAATTCCAATGTGCACTGGTGAAAGAGAATCAAAATGCAATTAATATCTTAGTATTCTTATGAAAATAGTCTCACTTTGCAGGCCTCTAAAAGGCTCAGGGTTTCAGATCTACCTAGTGTGTATTGGTTGGTGCTCAACAGACAAGAGTTATCATCAGTAGTCTAACGTGATTTTGAGGTTCGAAGATGCCACTAAGCACATTTTATGAGGAAGAACACCCTCTAGAAAAAGGAAAGAAACACCTGAGCCCGCGGGTTCGAGACCCGCCTGGGCAACTTGGCGAGACCTCATCTCTACAATAAATCAAAAAATCAGCCGGGTGTGGTATCGCATGCCTGTAATTCCGGCTATTCGGAGGGCTGAGGCGGCAGGATCGCTGGAGCCCAGCAGGTCGAGGAAGAAAAAAAAAAAGGAAGAAACAGGTGGCAGAGTTAGCACAAGCAATATGGACAGCCAGCTGGAGAGGGAGTCCTGAGGTCTCCTTGTCCCAACAGTCAGGCCCCATACCCCTCTGCAGGTTGTGGCATCCGGAAAGTCGATACTTTGGAGGATTCCGAGGAGGACTTGGTCAGTAGTATGGAGTTCCCCTGGTTGGTGTCACTGCAGGATTTCCAGTACACCCACTTAGCTTTCGGCTGCATCCTCAGTGAGTTCTGGATCCTCAGCATCGCGTCCGCCCTTCAGAACAGGCCAGTACCCCTGTCTTTGGGGCCCATGCCACGCCCAGGGGTGGGGGTGGGAGCGGCTCTGTAGTCTGCTCAGCCTGGGGAGGACTGGCAAGGTGGATTCCAGGGGACAGGGCTTTTTGCCAGTTCAGCCCTTGCTCTGCCTTGAGCCTCAGGGCCCTACAATCACCAGTGTCTGCTGTGAGGAATTTAGGCCTTACAACTGGGAAGTGACATGATTATTCCTCCATTCTATGCCGGTACAATAGCATTAAGAGCCAGCGCCCCTAGGATGGCAGTAAAATCAGAGAGAATAGAGTTCCTATTGCTTATCCTGTGAAGGCGGTCCATAGGAGCCCTTACCTCAAAATACTTACCTTGGGCCTTATCAATGTCACTGCCCCAATATATGTACAGAGAAGAGGCTCAAAGGAAATATAGAAACAACTTTTTTGTTTTTTAATCCTGACATTCTTTAATTTTTTAAAATTTTGTATTTTGAAGATGTGGGGCACAATTCAGGGTTAGGTATCTAAATGTTCATTATGCAGGTACCCTTGTTGACGAGGTGTGCCCCCCACCCCCGCGCTGGGAGTTTCCCACTACTGTCAATTCTTTTCTTAAAGTATTATGATAATTGTTCAAGGTCCACTTATGAGTGAGAACATGTGATACTTAGTTCTTTGTTTCTGTGGTAGATCACTCAGTATTATAGACCCTAAGTCCATCCAAGTTGCTGCAAAGTTCATAATTTTGTCCTTCTTTATGGCTGTGTGATATTCCATCATGTGTATGAGCCACATTTTTTAAAATCCAATCCTCTTCAAATGGGCAGCACGGTTGGTTCCATGTTTTTGCTATTGTGAACAATGCTGCAATAAACATGCGTGTGCAAGTATCTATTTCATAGAGTGATTTGAGTTCCTCTGGGTATATTTCCAAAAGGGGGATTGCGGGGTCATATGGAAGGTTGATTTTTAGATCTTTTAGGAATCGCCAAACTATTTTCCACAGTGGTTGTATTAGTTTACACTGCCACCACCAGTGTAAAAGTGTTCCCTTTTCCCTGCATTCTCTCCAGCATCTGTTGTTTTTTGATTTATTTGAGGATGTCCATCCTGACTGGACTTAGGTAGTATCTCAGTGTAGTTTCAATTTGCATTTCTTTGATGACTAGTGAGGCTGAGCATTTTTTCATATATCTGTTGGCTGCTCGTATGTCTTCTTTTGAGAAGTGTCTATGCATATCTTTTGCCTACTTTGTATGTTTTTTCTTTTTGGCCCATTTTAGTTCCTTATAGATCCTAGATGTTAGTCCTTTGTCAGACATACAGTTGGCAAATAGTTTCTCCCAGTCTGTAGGCTGTCTCCCTACTCTCTTGATGGTTTCTCTGGCTTTGCAGAAGTCTGTCAGTTTGATAAGGTCCCACTTGTCTATCTTAACTCTTATGGCATGAGCACTTGGGGTTTTGATCAGGAATTGGTTGCCAGTTCCAATTTTCATAAGGGTGTCTCCTGCATTTTCTAAGGCTCTCATAATTTGAGCTTTTACATTTAGGTCTTTGATCCATTTAGAGTTCATTTTTGTGTATGGTGATAGGTAGGTGTCTTGTTTTAATCTTCTGTATGTAGTCTGCCATTTTTCCCAGCACCATTTACTGAATAGGTACTCCTCTCCCCAGTGGTTGGTGGTTGGAGGCTTTGTCGAAGATGAGTTTGCTGAGAAATTGAGGTTTTACTTCTGGAATCTCTATCCTGTTCCATTGGTCTACATGCCTGTTCTTGTACCAATACTGTTGGCTGTTTTGATTATTGCAGGTTTATAATAAAATTTAAAGTCTGGGAGTGTGGTCCCTCCTGCTTTGTTTTTTGCTTTTTTTTTTTTGGCTGAGGATTGTTTTGGCTGTTCGTGGTTGTTTATGTTTCCATATGAATTCCTATATTGTCGTTTCCAGGTCTGAGGAGAATGCTGCTGGTAATTTAATGAGTATTGCATTAAATCTGTAGATTGCCTTGGGTAGGATGGATATCTTAACAATGTTGATTCTTCCACAGGGCTCGGTGGCTCAGCCTGTAATCCCATGCTTTGGGAGGCTGAGGTGAGTGGATTGCCTGAGTCCATGGGTTCAAGACCCACCTGGGCAACTTGGCAAGACCTTATCTCTACAATAGATCAAAAAATTAGCCAGGCATGGTAGCGCATGCCTGTAGTTCCAGCTACTTGGAAGGCTGAGGTGAAAGGATTGCTGGAGCCCAGTAGGGCAAGGCTGCGGTGGCCGGGAGCGTGCCACTGCACTCCAGTCTGGGCGACAGAGTGAGACTCCAATTCAAAAACAAAACAAAACAACAACAACCAAAAAAACAATGTTGATTCTTCCAATCCATGAGCATGGACTATTTTTCCATTTGTGACATCTTTGATTTCTTTGAGCAGTGTTTTATAGTTTTCATTGTAAAGGTCTTTCACATCTCTGGCTAGGAAGATGCCAAGGTATTTCATTTTTTGAGGCTATTATGAGTGGGATTGTGCTTTTTATTTGGGTTTCTGTTTGCTTGTTGTTTGTGTATAGAAATACGACTGTCTTTTATACATTTATTTTATACCCTGAGACTTTGCCAAAGTTCTTTATCAGTGCAAGAACGTTTTCGACAGATTCTCTTGGGGTTTTGAGGTACAGAATCATGTCATCTGCAAAGAGGAATAACTTGACTTCCTCTTTTCCTATTTAGAGACCACTGATCTCCTTCTCTTGTCTGATTGCTTTAGCTAGGATTTTCAAAACTATGTGGAAAAGGAGGGGTGAGAGTGGGCCTCCTTGTCTTGTTCTGGTTTTCATGGGAAATAATTTCAATTTCTGTGTGTTTAGCAGTTTTCTGGCTGTAGGTTTCTCATAGATGGCTCTTACTATTTGGAGGTATGTTCCATTTATGCCTAGATGTTCGAGGGTTTTTATCAAGGGGTGCTGGATTTTATCAAAAGCTTTTTTTGTGTCTAGTGATATAATCATGTGGTTTTGATTTTACATCTGTTGATGTATGTAATTACATTTATGGTCTTGTAAATGTTGAACCAGCCCTGAATCCCAGGGTCATGGTGGATGATTTTTGAGATGTGTTGTTGGATCCGGTTTGCTAGAATCTTGTTGAGAATTTTAGCATCTATGGCCATCAAGGATATTGGCCTGTAGTTCTCTTTCTTTGTTGGATCTTTATCTGGTTTGGGTATCAATGTGATGTTAGCTACATAAAATGATTTGCGGGGAGTTCTATCTTTCTCAATTGCCTGGAATACTTTCAATAGGATTGGTATCAGTTCCAGAAACACCTTTAAGAATGTTTATCTCTGAATGCTTAGAAAACACAGTTTCTATTTTCTTCTTTGAATTTCTCTGTAGTCTCTAAGTTTTGTACAATAAATATGCATTCTTTTAAGTCACAGAAATCATAAAGCTTTGGTAAATATTTGTAAAAAATTTTTGTAATATTGGTAAAATAGTTCACTTTTTGACCTAATGAGTACACTTTTGAGAATCAATGTTAGGGAACTAATTTTAATTACTGGAAATGCTTTATGGACAAAGTTGTTCATAGGATGGTTAATTATACACATAACACCAAAAAGAAACCTAGTGTCCAATTATCACAACTAAATATAATATAATGCCTCATACATACACACTATATATAAAAATATACTATATATTATGTAGTAATATAGTATATAGCACATAATATACCTGGGGTACCAAAAAATACATATTTTAAGAGATGTTATCTATGTATTGCTTTTTGAAGTTGAATTAAATTATGGCAGCAATGTATAATATAACGTTCCCTCAACTGTGCTTCTGCCATTTTTGTTGACTGCTTTGCCTGTTACATGGTGATGCTAGCATTCGTTTGAGCAAATGTCATACTCAAAATATGTATACATTTTTTGGCACTCTCCACATAATCACTTACATATAAATACATACATGTGTGTATAATTACTATAATGGTGCCAGGTGCAGTGGCTCAAATCTGTAATCCCAGCACTTTAAGAGGCTGTGGCGAGAGGATTACCTGAGCCTAAGAGTTTGAGACCAGTCTGGACAACATGGCAAGACCTCATCTCAATAATAAAATAAAAAAATTAGCCGAACTTGGTGGCACATGCCTGTAAGTCCCAGCTTCTTGGGAGGCTGAGGTGGAAGGATGGTCTGAGCCCAGAAGGTCAAGGCTGTGGTAGCCATGAAAGTGCCATTGCACTCCAGTCTGGGTGACAGAGTGAGATTCTGACTCAAAAAAACAAAAACAAAAATTACTGTAGTTGGCTAAATGGCTAAATAAATTATAGTATAAACCCTTGATTGTACAGCTGCTAAATATTTTAAAGTATGATTTATGTTTTTAATTGAAAATATACGTACATAGTAAAATGTTCATGAGGTATAGAGTGAAAAACAGCTTCTTCCCTCCCCTGCTTTGTCACTAGTTTCCCTCCCTTGAACTATATTGTTACCAATTTCTTGGATATTTCTCCTTAAATACTCTGTGTAGTTATGGATATCTATACACCTACAGGTCTAACTATATTAATTATTTTAAAATTTTATTATCGAGATGTGGGGTACAAGTGAGGGCTAACCACCTAAGTAGACTGCATGCAGGTGAAGTTTGGGCTTCTAGCTGGCCCTCACTCCCCTGGTAGTGGACTGGGTACCCTTTGTGTTGTCATGTGCCCCTGCTCTCTTCCTTCTCTCCCTCCCCTAGCGGTGCCCAGCCACTGCTGATCCCTCCCTTGTGCTAATGTGACTAGGGTTCAGGTCCCACTTATGAGTGAGAACATGCAGTATTCAATTCTTTGTTTCTATTGATTCTTATGTCTACTGACAGAGAATTTTCTTCCCCCATGTATTAGTCAGCTCTGGCTGCCTCTACAAAATATTGCAGACCTAAACAACAGAAATTTTTTTCTTAGGTTCTGGAGGATAGAAGTCAAGATCAAAGTGTTGACAGGTTTGGTTTCTCCTGAGGCTTCT